CAGCCAAAAGTCTGTACATTTTGACAATAAACCTGATTTTCAATGGGGATTGAGTAATTTTGATTACAACTGTAGGACTATATTGGTTAAATTGAAAAATACAGGAATATATATCGTATTATACAGAAAAAAGTCAAATATTGCATTGCACAGTGGTATATAAATGTCTTTTACTTTTATTAAAGTGTCATTTTTAACTAATATTTTTCTTGTGTTTATTAAAAATAGTTACTTCCTTTTATAAAGCTATTGTAGACTAAAACTCTCATCATGCTTAGCCAACCACTGGATGAGGTTGATTGGAATTATATTGCTTATAAGTGGTTTAGCATGTGGTTTCCTCACTATCAGGTTACATCAGATGTATATTTTAACTCTAACCAGCGTCGGACAGAATATCACAGAGTTGTAGCCCAGCAATACATAAAGAAGACATAAACACAGAGTGGCTTGTTCTTTTATTTATTTATTTTATTTTATTTATTTATTTTATTTTTATTTTTTACCCCCTCTGGCTTCTGCACCTAGAGAATTCAGAGGTCAAAAAAGAAAATCAATTCATGTTTTTTTTTTGTTGTTTTTTTTTTGTTGTTTTTTTTTTATTGGTAGCTGGGCAGTGGGAGCTTTGACACTGTACGTGTATCTCACCAAGTCATGGGCAGCTTGTCTAAGGCGTTGGGGTTAGCCAGACACCAGGAGCAAAAGTGAAGTGGCATTAAAGTGAAGACTTGTTCGTGAACAGTGGGTGTCAGATGTCCACAGGAGTGGCCTTGCAATAGCAGACATGACCACTTATGGTAAGTGCCATTGTCATAAGATTATGAAAACAGTATTGGATGATTGCCTTAGGGAGCAGACTGTGCAGATTATACGAGATTGTGAGTCCAAAGTCTTCCAACACAGCATCCTTTATAATCAAAGAGGTAGTATAAATGTGAGATTATTTGCGAAAAGCTCACATAATGCAGCTAGTATCCTTCCAACATGGCTCAGTTTCATATATTTAGTAACAACTATATTTTTAACCCTGAAGAAGTCCTTTGGACAACACGTGTTGGCTTTTACCTACTACAGTCCTCCACTACTGCTGCGTCCCTGGGGCAGGCTCTTTTTTTTCCAGAATACCAGCTCTGCTAACTACTTATGTGAATAGCTACTGATTGACCATAGAAGGTTCTCTCCAACCAAGAACCTAACGACTGCACCAGCACTTTACAGGTGATACTCGAAAAATTAGAATATCGTGCAAAAGTTAATTTATTTCAGTAATGCAGCGTAAAAGGGGAAACTAATATGAGATAGACGCATTACATGCAAAGCAAGATAGTTCAAGTCGTGATTTGTCATAAGTACGAGGATTATGGCTTACAGCTCATGAAAACCCCAAATCCACAATCTCAATAAATTAGAATATTACATGCAATCAATAAAACAAGGAGTGTACATAGAACAATATCGGACCTCTGAAAAGTATAAGCATGCATATGGACTCAGTACTTGGTTTGGGCCCCTTTTGCAGCAATTACTACCTCAAAGTGGCGTGGCATGGAAGCTATCAGCCTGTGGCACTGATGAGGTCTTATGGAAGACCAGGATGCTTCAATAGCGGCCTTCAGCTCTTCTGCATTGTTCTGTCTCATGTCTCTCATCTTTCTCTTGGCAATGCCCCATAGATTCCCTACAGGGTTCAGGTCAGGCGAGTTTGCTGGCCAATCAAGCACAGCAATCCCACAGTCATTGAACCAGGCTTTGGTGCTTTTGGCATTGTGGGCAGGTGCCAAGTCCTGCTGGGAAATGAAGTCAGTATCCCCATAAAGCTCGTCTGCGGAAGGAAGCATGAAGTGCTCCATAATCTCCTGGTAGACGGCTGCGTTGACGCTGGACTTAATGAAGCACAGTGGACCAACACCAGCAGATGACATGGCTCCCCAAATCAACCCAGACTGTAGAAACTTCACACTGGACTTCAAGCATTTTGCAGTGTGTGCCTCTCCATTCTTCCTCCAGACTCTGGGTCCTTGGTTTCCAAATGGGATGCAAAAGTTGCTTTTATCAGAAAAGAGGACTTTGGACCACTGAGCAACAGACCAGTTGTGTTTTTCTTTAGCCCAGGTAAGATGCTTCTGACGTTGTTGTTTGTTCATGAGAGGCTTGACAAGAGTAATACAACATCTGAAGCCCATGTCCTTGATCCGTCTGTGTGTGATGGCTCTTGATGCACTAACTCCAGCCTCAGTCCACTCCTTGTGAAAGTCCCCAACACATTTGAATGGCCTTTTCCTGACAATCCTCTCCAGGCTGCGGCCATCCCTGCTGCTTGTGCACCTTTTTCTTCCACACTTTTCCCTTCCACATAACTTTCTATTAATGTGCTTTGATACAGCACTTTTGGGAACATCCAACTTCCTTCGCCTTTTGATGCTTTCCCTCCTTATGGAGGGTGTCAATGATGGTTTTCTGCACAACTGTCAGGTCAGCAGTCTTCCCCCATGATTGTGATTCCTACTGAACCAGACTGAGAGACAATTTAAAGGCTCAGAAACCCTTTGCAGGTGTTATGGCTTACTTAGCTGATTAGCGGGGGACACTGTGAGCCTAGAATATTGCACCTTTTCACAATATTCTAATTTACTGAGATTGTGGATTTGGGGTTTTCATGAGCTGTAACCCATAATCATAGCACTTATGACAAATCACGGCTTGACCTGTCTTGCTTTGCATGTAATGCGTCTATCTCATATATTTGTTTCCCCTTTGACGTTGCATTACTGAAATAAATGAACTGAAATAAATGAACACAAGATAATCTAATTTTTCCAGTATCATCTGTATATCCCCATCAACTGAATGACAACTTAATGACAGAGGTTCCTTTTATGTATTCATCTTAATTTTATTTACATGTTTTATTGTTTAGTTTTCATTATTTTTATCAAGAAACTTTTTGTTAGCCTTTTCATACATTGTTCAATAACTTAATTATTAATCATATCACATTTTATATTTTATTGTATTTTGTTCATTGTATTCTTTAAAGTTTATGAATTTTATCTCTTGTGCACACTCTTTGTCAATCAACATTTTTACCAGGGCATATAGCTTATACACACAGAAATTATACAGTAGTGGCATTAATAAAATTAGACATGCACTGTGTAGGCAAACATTAACGTACAAGTCATGAACTGAACTGTGATTACACAGCTAAAATGAAGCATCTAACAACAAGTAAGGTAGTTTCTTTTAGAATATTGACAATCTTTTTCTGTGAAGTAGGAAGCAAAATTGACAGCAGTGAGGTTATTAGAATGTGGAGGCATAGCATGGTGCATTAGTGAGTTAAAAGTTTGAAAGTGGGGTGGCGGAGCCTAGCAACCGCGCTGACCGGTCACACGTTCTAAATAAAGCAGCTCTGTGCTGACTGGCTTTGATATAGCCCTAAATGTACAAATTTTCCTTGAATTCTGATGACCGAGACATCCAGGTGCTGAGAAGTAACTGCTGTGCTTGGCCTCTCTGTGTCCCAGACCGAGTCCGGTGGACTTGTAGCCTACAAGAGGCCTACTTACAGTGATTACGAGGGAGGTGGCCAATCCCTCGACCTGCTGCCACACACCTTCTCTCCTGTACTCCCCACCCAGCCCCCTGCTCATGAGGGTTATACCAGGGCCTCTCATCAGTGCTACATTGGCGATGCACCCACAATTACTTACCTGTAGCAGTCTGCCTACCATGAATACGATGGCAGATGCCACGTGCACACCAGTAAATCAGAACCCGCAGCCAACCATCTCGGAGAAACTGGACAGCTGTTTTTTTTTTTTTTACATTCAAATCTTTATTTCATTTCCAAGTTTTGTTTTTTCACAAACATATAAACGAACAAACCACAGTGCGGTATTAGTAGGCTACATGCCTCCCGTTGTCTTATAATAACGTTGTAACACCCCCCTCCCTCCATCCCTTCCCCCCTACCTCCGCTCCCACCTGCTTTTATAACTGGCTGTATCCCCTGGTTCATGTTGTGCCCCGTGTCTACCTAGATTTATGGTATGCTCCCTCCATCATTCGTGTACTACGACCCCCTCCTGCTACCGTGGCATCTGTACTACTTCTAGTCTGCAATCCTCCTCGCCTGGTTGGATAGCGCCCTCAACCGTCTATGGGTTGACTATTGCGATCCCCTTCTCTGTCTTTTGTGTATTTGCGCCGGTCAGTGAACCTGTCTGGTGTGTGCTACCCTTTATAATGAGCCGCCTGATCCTGCTCATCGCTTGCTGCCCTGACACGTGTGTTTCTATTACAGATCGCTGACACTTGGCTCAACAGTTAGTGGTAAAGATCTTGGCTACGGGTGGTTTCACCATGGCAAGTCGTTAGCCCGCCGGTGTAGGGCGATCCATTTATCGCATCTAGACTGGTGTGCCACGTATGTGCACGGGTCCAGTCGAGTTGCCTCAGGTGACGCTAATCGAGATTTTCAGGAGTACCCTGGATCCCTTGGTCATGTCTATGTCGCTGTCCCTGCTGCTTACATATCCCTCCCTAAGCATTGTAGTTGTCCCCTATGTGTACTGATCTTCGAGTCGTGTCTTCCCAATGCCCCTCCACTGCGTGTGTCATGCAGTCTGATATCCTCTGTTAGGCGGGGATCTCTCCCCCACCGGTGTATTGCTGTGGTGCTATAGCCGGCCCTTTCTTCTATTCGCATCTTGTCCCTTGTCTTTCGCCCCCATGGTCATAAACATTGGGTGCAGCTCCCTATCCCGCCTTCCCTTCCCCTTCTCCCATCCCGTCCCCCCTTGAGGTCTCGGGGTGGGAGTCCCATATCTCTCTGGTGTGCGTTCGCTCACACTGTTCATCTGGGAAGCGATGGTTAATCTGGGTATGTGCGTTAGGTATAGTGTACCGAACTGTGTGGATGAGTAGTCTGTGTCTCCTGACTCAGGTTCCCCTCGTTGTTCAGAGGGTCTGATAGTGTGTACAGGTTATCTTGTCCGTCAGTGATTTTGAGTGTGTTGTCCGTCGTGTATGGGGATTGAGTCTCCGGTGGAAGTTACCGGTGTACTCCGGATTTTGTTGTTGTGGCAGTCTGAAGGGGTCGCCCGCTCCGCAGCAGCCGCGGCACCCCCTCGCGCTCCTTCTCGCACCGCCCTCTTATTCACGTACTCCATCCACAGGAACCAGGCTGTAGCACATTGCTCTGCTCGTCCCTGCAGGGAGGCCGTCATCAGCTCCATACCCATTTTTGAAAGGTGGGCGCCGTGCGGCTTTTCCAGTGTGTCGGTATGAGCGTTTTCGCCGCTGTAAGCAAGTGGATGGTCAGCTCCTTTTTGTATTTCTGCAACGGTATCGGCGTGTGGTTGAGCAACATCGTCAGGGGCTGCAGTGGTAGGTTTGCATCAGCGATTTCCCTAATTGCTTGATGGACCTGTTGCCAGAATGGTTCGATTCGCGGGCACGACCACCAAATGTGCAGCCTCGCGACCGGTTCCGCACCACATCGCCAGCACTCGCCGGGTATTGATTTGTGGACATGGCGGAGGATATCTGGGTTCCTGTACCAGCAAGTCAGAATTTTATAGTTACATTCCTGGTATTTGGAACAGATGCTCCCCTTGTGTGCCAGCTGGAAAATCTTGTCCCAATCGAAATCCGTGAGTGTCAGTCCCGTCTCTTGCTCCCAACGAGCTGTGAAGCCCGGTAGGCCCTCGCCCTCCTGCTGCTGTAATAAGGCGTACAGTGCAGACACACCATGTTCTAAGTGCCGCCTACCGCGCTGGACAGCCTGTTTTTGACCTTCTGGTCTAAACTGGCCCTTCACCTGGACGCTCTTGTTGCAGTCCCACTGGCACCAACCATGCATTGGCCCACTAAGTGCTGTGCATCTCCTGGACAATGCTTACACTGCAGTGAGAGTTAGAAAGCAGATGTGGGTGCCATGGAAGGCACATCCGCGCCAACAACAAAGTCTGGCTATGGTCCACCATCTTCCTGGTCCACTACCAAAACTGGGACAGTTACCTGGACACTGCTCATCCTCTCGCAAGGCCACCACTGATTGTGTGCTGCGGCAACCTAATAGAGGGCCCTGCGAACAAGTCCTGATCGTAACTCATGCTGGGACTCGTGAGATAGATGTGTTAAGGCCTTGGGCTGGTTGGGTGCAGATGTGCGAGACTTAAGCCTTCCTAATTGCCAGTGCAGTGTCAATACTATGACGGGCATAGCCTGAATTTCTTGGTTTAATTGATTCCCTTTAGACCCATAGCTTTCTCCACGTCTGTGGGCACTTGTTGCACATGTTATCTTTTTATTTTTGCCTTATTTTAACTGCTTCTGGGTCTCAGTTTTATTTCATAATTAGTTTATTCTTATCCTGCTTAGATTCAGCACAGATTGATATGTGCGATTGTCATAGAATGTCTATTTGGGTACAAACCATCCTCTCCTGTTCTTAATGGCTCCCCATTACTTTGCTTTGATATCTCCTGCAAAGCTACTCCCTGATCGCTACACTGGTACATCGATCTGTCTAAGCCAATATGGTACACATTTTTTTTTTTTTTTTAACTAAGAATGCTTCCCTACATAGAAATCCCCATGTCTCACTTTATTCATGTGACAGCCTAGTTTACCTATCTAGATATGTTTGCTAACTTGACTTTCTTTGTTCCTGTATTAAAAATAAAATGAGGCTGCCATTCAGGACTCCAGCAAGTGCAAAGTGTGGCAGATGTCCCTGCCACCCTACCTGCGCGATGTCAGGTTTGCTTTATATATGGAATAAAGTCTGGTCTTTGTTTCTTCAAATTCTGTAATTAAGGAGACGTATATGGATAGTGATTGGAATGGGTAAAATAATCATTTTTGGCTGGTTTACTCTTTAATTTCCTAGATAAGATACTTGTCCGGAATGGGATATTAATGTTTGAAAATAAGTATTTTTTTGTAGGTGTCTCTTTGAGAAGGAGCATTTCTTCTTCCACACCTGTCAGAGTTCTGGAGATAGACTTAACTCCTGGTCCTCTGAGTTCCTAAAATGGTGTAGGTATAGATAGTTCAAAAAGTTCTATGGCTGTGACATCATCAAGCAGTAAATTAGTAATACATATTTATATAACGACTTTCTCCCAGCTGGACTCAAAGCACTTTTCAGCACACGCTCTCCGAATTAACCAAATCGGCAGCTGAATAATAATTGTTATTATTACCCAATTGATAGTACTCATTTATTGACCTCAGAATGATGAAGGGCTGAGTTGACTGCTGGGGTTCAAACCTGTGACCCAACTCTGTAGTCAGGGAGTTACCTTACCAGCTGTTCACATTGGCTGGAGAGATTCATTCTCACCAAAAGAGGTCTTAGTGTTCCAAAATAGAGCTACATTGTGCTACTGTGCATGTCGTTGTTTTTTTTAATTGTAACAACTCTGCTTTTAAGCAAATTGACAAAACAAGTTAAGGCATCTTTTATGTGCCTTATACTCTTATCAAAGAGATGGCAGATCTGCTTCAAGGCTACTTTATATAAAATAATTAAGTGCATATTTTATCTAAATAATAAAAGCACATATATGATTTTAGGAAAAGATGGCAGCACTAACTCCAGCTGTTTGCTGAAAGCATCTTTTGCGGCTTTACTGTCAGAGGCACAACAGTTTCTGGCAGGGTGCAAAAATTGCATCTGGAATGTATTTAATGCTGAGAGTGACTAAACCTGTGTGTAATGTCCGTGCCGAAAACCTTTCTATCACCCACTGTATTCCCAGGCCTTTCTGATTCATTTCTTGCCAATAAAATGGGATTTTGAATACTATGAGTCATTGCCTGTACAGCAGCCTGTGCCCCGATGCTGCACTACAAATCCGTTATCATACAGGATTGTAACACCAGGAGGAAGCAGGTGGCTTCTGTGACAAGCCGTGGCGCTTTTTGCCAGTGGAGGATATGGTTAGTTTGAAATCGGAGAATGATGCCCTTGTCATTGGTCAAATTCGAAACGGTGCACATGGCGCCTTAAGTGCCCATTTCACCAAAGTTCTTTAAATGCTGAGCAATGCCTGTTACAAAAACCAGCAGATATATCTGTAAATATTATGCAGTTTTAGCGAAAGACGGTATAGGGAGCCACTGGGAGACGCGGAAGATAAAATAGCGAACAGGCTAATTTTAATTTATTTAATTGGCTTGTTTTTGTTTGAATATAATACAAATTAAACTGTTGGACAGCTGGGGCGGAGCCTGCAGCTTGAGCTAGCCAGATGCGCATCAAACGAGCTTCTGCGATCAATGCTGATTTACCGGAGATATCTCGGGTTACCAGGCTTGAAAGGTCTAACTGAGGTGCTACCTACCTGGGGAACACTACCCTGAATCGATTGAGACTACTCTCAAGACCCTCAGCTAACGGGACCTGCACGGATTGGCAAATCTATTACTCTCTCCCTCTCCCCCCACTTTGGACCAGTGGGGGATATCCCAGTCCCCGCTGGTCTGACCTGCCGAGTGCTCAGACTCCAAACACCCAGTGTACGATCAGCAGCAGCGAAGCTCCACACAGGAGCTAAGATGGCGGGTGCGCATATCTTCTACAAGTCAACACAGCAGAATGCAGAACAGCTCCCTCTCAACTTTGTCCAGCAGTCTCTGCAATGGCTAGATGAGCTATTCACCCAATTCTGGGCCAAACTGGACAGCCATGCGGCAGCCACACAGGAGCAGACTAAGGAGGGAGCCCGGAAGGATGTCAGCCCGAGAGTGAATGGACCCCCTTCAGGCCTGGTCTCTACTCGTCAGCCTATCCAGCTTAATGTTAGCCTGCCTAGAACAAGGGCCCCCAGGGTGTAAACCCCGAAGCATCACTCACACCAAAGGAGAGCTACCTGTCGCAGGTGGTGACTTACCACCATTGCCTCCTTTAGCCCACGAGGTGGGATGAACTTGGTCTCCCTGAGCCTCCTAGTCCGTGGCTCGAAGATTCTGGCCCGCATACCGGACCTCTCCCCTGCCGTCCTGCAATGGCAAAGGAGAGGTCTCCTCCCCGGACCTCTCCCCTGCTGTCCTGCAACGTGTCACTGCTTGCCTTTCTTCCATCTCTGACTGGATGTCCTCGCGCTTTCTGAAACTCAATCTCTCTAAAACTGAACTCCTTTTCTTTCCTCCTCCTAATACTGATCTTCCTCTCTCACTCTCCCTTCAAGTCAGTGATATCCACATAAGTCCATCCTTGCAAGCACGCTGTCTTGGCATCATACTTGAACTCTGACCTCACCTTTGAGCCTCACATCCAGTTTGTTGCCAAATCCTGTAGATTCCATCTTAAAAACATAGCCCGCATCCGCCCCTTTCTTACCCAAGATGCTACCAAGGAGCTTGTCCATGCTCTAGTAATTTCACACATGGATTACTGTAACCCTCTCCTGATTGGTCTCCCCAAAAGCTGTATTGCCCCGCTACAGTCTGTAATGAAATCCGCCGCCAGACTGTTTTTCCTCTCTAGTCGGTCCTCTCACACCTCACCCCTTTGCCAGTCCTTACATTGGCTCCCTGTATCCTATAGAATTCAATTTAAAGTGCTAACCCATACATTTAAAGCACTGAACAATTCTAGCCCCTCTTATATCTCTTCACAGATCCATAGGTATGCCCTTCCTCGTTCCCTCTGCTCTGCCCATGACCACCTCCTGACCGCTGATCACACCTGTACGGCCAATTCACGCTTGCAGGACTTCTCGCGGGCGGCTCCTTTCCTGTGGAATAGCCTGCCTACCCCCATCAGATTCTCCCCTAGTCTTCAATCGTTTAAGAAGTGCCTTAAAACCCATCTCTTTAGGAAAGCTTATGGCCTCCCAGAGTAACCTCTACCTTACATACCTGTCTCTTGCTTTCTCCTATAGGGCAGCACTTTACTCTCTCCTCTAGCTCTGCTTCACTCCCACCTTATCTGATTGATATTTCCTGTCCTAATGTGTCTTATACCCCACTTCCTATAGACTGTAAGCTTGCTTGAGCAGGGTCCTCTTCATCCTATTGTTCCTGTAAGTTTTTTATTTGTCCTATTTATTGTTACACCCTCCCCCTCCCCCCCTCATAATATTGTAAAGCGCTACGGAATCTGTTGGTGCTATATAAATGACAATAATAATAATAAAGTTAAAGCAAGATAAGAACAAAGACCATCTAGCTTGTCTAGAAGACAGTCGTTTAGCATCATCAATATATGCCATATATTTTTGTGATCTGTAATGATCAAAAGGAGGTCCTTTAGCGTTGTATAATGGCCAACAATTCTTTGTTACCGATATCATAATTACACTCTACTGGAGACAACTTTCTAGAGAAGTACCCGCAGGGATGCAAAGGGGTGTCCTGACTCTCCCTCGGAGAAAGAACAACCCCTACCCCTGTTTTGGAGGCATCAACCTCCAGTATGAAGGATTTGCTAGTGTCAGTATGTACCAATATGTCAGCAGAGGCTAACAATTTTTTAAGAAGCTCAAAAGCCTCCCTAGCTTCTTTACACTATATAGTACAATTAGCCCCCTTACGTGTCATATTGTTGATGGGGGCTATCACAGAAGAGAATCCTCTGATCAATCTCCTATAGTAGTTGGCAAACCCAATAAACCTTTGAATGGTTTTTAACCCATTAGGTAATGGCCAGTGTAGTACAGATTCTAGTTTACGATTCTAGAGGCCTAAATATTATATCCCAAAAACTGAACATTTGCTTGGTCAAATATGCACTTTTCAAGTTTGCAATAAAGTCCATTTTCAAGCAAAGTTTGCAACACTTGTTTGGCATGTTTATGATGAGTCTGGAGGTCAGGGGAATGAATAAGGATATCATCCAAATATACAAAT